GCCATACGTAACTTACGTAAGGCTGCTACACTTAACGTACCTAAGGCTGCCACACGTAACTTACGTAAGGCTGCTATACGTAACTTACGTAATGTGACGACCTTAAGCGATTACCTAAAGGAACTCACGGGAGCGCGGGGTTCACATAAGAGCTTAGGAGAATCTTAAAGTAATGACTTAGAATCAACAATTACCGAGTGTAAAGGTCGAAGGTAGCTAAGGTCTATATATACGAAGGTAGAAGCGCTAAGGACTCGTAAATTATAGTTTATAAGTTAAAAGCGAGGAATAAGAGAATACGAAGAATACGAAAGAAAAAAAGAAAGAAGTAGCTTAGCGCATGTAAAGTGCGTCTAAAAGACTTGACGTGTCGTCATACTACTTTTCCGTTTGAAAAAAGCTCGTTTTCGAGCGTTTATCTATTGCTTTATTATTACTCAAGTGATCGTAGTTATTAACACCGTTCGAATAAGCTTTGATCTATTCGAAAAGCTTCGCGGGAAGGCCGAAGAGCTTTTTGTATTCTAAGTAGAAGTCACGTACTTTAAAAAGAGCGTATATAAAGTCGGAAGCGGAGTATTAAGTAAAGTCAATGTCGCGGCCGAGTTAAGAAGCGCGGTATTTAAAGTGCTTTTTAGTTTAGCGTACGGTTAAGATGTTCTTTACTTCGTACTTAAGTTCGCTAGTGATATTAATCGGGTCAGGTTCAGGAATGACTTGCTCGAAGGTAAGGTTATTAAGTGCTTTTCGTAGCCGTCCGAAGTAGAAGATTGAGTGAACCTTTATTAACTCGGAGAGCTTAAGTTTAAAGCTGTTATAAACGTTATCGGTAACCTCGAACGGTCCGTTCGTTAAGTTATCAAGCTTTTTTAACGGTCGAGAGATAAGAAACGAGCGCATGTTTAATTAAACTTTATTATTAACGTCGAAGTCAATCGAGCGCTTTAATTTGTTAGCTTGTTTAGCTATGCGGTCTTAAGCGCGCTGAAAGTGCTTTCTAACGAGGTTTTAAGCTTCGAAGTAGCGGTTGGCGTAAGCGCGAGCTTCGTTTTAATTGAGCTTGCGAAAAAGGGTTTGGTCGTCAAGTCGTTTTAAGCTTTAATTCTAAGTGGTCCGAAGGGCGTAGCCGTGAATTACCTTAAAAAAGGAAAGGCCGCCGAAAGAGTCGTAAAAGAGCGTTAATTAAGCGAAGTCTATTATAAAAAAGAACTTACTTTAATCGTCTTAATAATAGCTTACGAAAGGACGGAAGCGCTTTTACAAGTACTAGTTATAGATTTCGGTATAACCGTCAGTCTTAAAGTATGCGGCGGTGCTAAAGGTTAGTTTAATGCCGAAGATTTTATTAAATTCTTTTTAAAATTCGGACTAGTATTAAAGTCTTTTGTCAAAAGTCAGTGTTAGAAGAGCTTTAAAATACTTATAGATATAGTAGATATAAAGCTTAGCGAAGCCTTTAGCATCGATAGACTTGTGATAAAAAATCGAGATTGCTTGCTTAAAAAAGCGGTCGATTATTACAAAGACGTTGTCGTAGCCGTATTTGTCTTTATTAAAATTATAAAAATCTATAATAACGTGCTCTTAAAAGCGCGAAAAGATCGAGAAAAGTTAAAGCAAACTAAGTTTTTTATCGCGAAGCATTAAAGCTCGTTTGCAAGCGTAGCAATTGCAGCAGTACTAGTTAACGAATCTAGCTATACCGTGCTAGTAGTATTATGTTGCAAAGAGCTTGTAAGTTTTGCGAGAGCTAAGGTATGCTATAAATACTTAATCGTAAACTTTTCGGACGAGTAACGAGCGCAAGTTTTAAACGTCGAGAACTAATAAACGGCCGTTATAAAGCAGCAAGTCGCTTTTCATAATGAGTTTGGCTCGTGAACCGTGGTTTACGAGTAAGGACTCAGCTTTAGAAGCTTGAATTCGAAGTGCTATAAAACTAAAAGCGGTCCGATTAGCTTTTAAGACTTAATTAATAACTTAAAATATAAATAAGAGCTCCGCGATCTTTTCGATAATAACGGCGGTTTTCGAAAGCGTAGGTTAGCGTAGCTCTTCGGTTAAAAGTCGTAAGTCAACGTTGTCGGCGCGGAGCAGCGTTTGCAAGCGTTAAGTGCGCTTAAAGCTGTTTTAAGAAAAGAGCTCTTCGGTGCGACGTGTCAACGCGTTAGCTAAAAGGTTGTTTTTACTTGGTTTATACGTGATAATGAAGTTGTAGTCGGAAAAGAGCTTTGCTTAACGTGCTTAACGGGCGTTAAAGGTCTTAGAAGTTATAAAGTATTTTAAAGCTTTATAATCGGTGATTACTTGAACTTAATAAAAGGAGCCGGCGAGTTCGGCGCGGAAGTTATTAAAAGAGCGTATGATAGCCAGTATCTTTTTGTCGTAGACGACGTAGTTGAGCTTAGCGGGAGCTATAGTTTTAGAATAGTAAGCGATTAATAGTTAATCGGAACTATGCTTTTAAGAGAGGACTAAAGCGATTACGCCGTCGAAAGCGTTAGTCTTTAATATATAAAAGAGGTCTTGGTTGTAATGCTGTAAGATTAGCGCAATAATCAAGGCGAGCTTTAAAAGGTCGAAGCTTTTTTGATATTAAGAATTGAATGAAAAAAGAACGTTAGCTTTAATTAAGTGTATTAAAAGCTTCGCGATCACGCCGTAGTCTCGAATGAATCGGCGATAGAAGTTATAAAATCTAAAGAAGCTTTAAACGCTTTTGACGGTTGTAAAAAGCGCCTAATGCTTTATTATCGACGTCTTGTCCGGATCTACTTTTAAGCTTTCGATAAAGATAATAAAGCTTAAGTATTTTACTTTAATAGTGCTGAATTCGCATTTTTTAATATTAGCTTAAAAGCTAGCGTCGTCGAGTCGTTAAAGAACTTAACGGACGTGGTAGGCGTGCTTTAAAGGGTCGAAGAAGTAGATCAGGATGTCGTTTAAATATGCCGTGCAAAAGATATTTAAAAAGTCGAAAAAGAGGTCATTCATATAGCGTTAGTAAGTGGCGGGTCTATTAGTTAGTTCGAATAAGAGAACCTTGCACTTGTAAGCACCGTAGCGTGTCTTGAATGTTGTGAGCTTTTTTAAAGCTAAGTCTATCCGTATTTTATAAAAGGCTTGCCGAATGTCGAGTTTCGTAAAGATTTTAGCTTTTAAAAGACGTGCGAAGGTCTTATCGATTAAAAAGAAGAGGTATCGATCTTTACGAGTAAAGTTGTTCAGCGCGCGGAAGTTAATACAAAAGCGGAGAGAACCGTTTTGCTTCTTAGCAAACAAGACTAGAGCTGCAAATAGCGCTGTTAAAAGTTCGATAAAACCTTTATTAAGATTGTCGATAAAGTAGGCTTTAATAAGCTTTAGCTTAAAGATCGACATCTTATATAATAGTAAGTATTAAAGCGCTTTCTCTTTTCTTTTAAAAAGCTCGATTTTATAATCGTAAAGCTTATATAGTGCTAGCACGTTGCTAGCGGCTTTAAAAAACACGTGTATGTAATCGGAGTATTCGGAAAAGATAAGAAGGTCGTTAGTGAGCTTTAACAGTTCCGCTGCAAGGTTAATAATAAAGATAAAGCCGTTAATAAAGCGTGTTAGCGCTACTTAGTAGTTAACTTAAGTAAAAGCAATCGTTTAACGCTTGAAGATTAAGTAATCGAGCTCGTAAAAAGACGTAAAGAACAGTTTTACGTCTTTTTAACGAGCGATCATATAGAAAGCGTGTCTAAAAACGCCGTTGATTTTAAGGTTTCTATTGATTTTGTGCTTAGATGTTTAGCGAAAGCGTTTGACGGGTAAAAGAAGTTCTATAAAAGCGATATCGGTTAACATAAGCTTACGGTTCATCTAAGACATTAATTTAACGTAGTCTTTAGAAAAAGTGTTTTTCGTAAAGCGAGAAAATAACAGCTTTACGAAAGAGTGAATAGAAAAAGAAGGTTTAACGATCTTAGAAAAAGAAGCGGAAGAAAGACGATTCTAAAAAGAAAAAAGTGATTTAACGACTATTGTTACTGCTTGATCCGTCCGTGAACTATAATTCACAAGTAAATTAGCGTCGTAAGCTTTTTAAAAGCGGTCTAAAGCTCGATCACGCTTATTAGCGTCGTGTTAATAACGAGCGTTTACTTTACGCTAATTAAAGTGTATGATCTTAATAAGTTTAACGTAAATAGCGGTCGAAAGGTTAAAACGAAGCTAATAAAGCTTGCAGCGAGCGCAATCGAAAAGAATCTAATACTTAGCTAGCTATGCTCGTCCGAAGATTACGCTATAACTTTTAAGGTTAATGATAAGAAAAGAAGTAAAAGATTAAACGCGCTTATTAACCGTAAGGTTAAAAAGTGCAAAATGTAAGATAGTAGCTTTACGAGCTCTATTATATAATTTGATAAAAAATAAAGCCGAGAAAAGTTAAATTAAAAGTTTGAGAAAAAAAGAAAGTGATTTGAATAGCGTTAAGTCAATCAGCGCGTACTTATTAGCTCTTAAGTCGAGCAAAGCAGATACTTTGTACGAGAGGCTATTCTTAGTAAAAGTGACGAGTATAATCATAGCTTTATTACTAAGGAGCTTCGTAAGGTCGAAGTATCGCATATCTCGAAGCTGGCTTAAGAAAGAAGCTTTGCTTAAGCTTCGACGTTTCTTTTATTGTCAAGAGCGTCGGAGTCAGTAAAAAAGAGCTCTTAATAATCCTTAAGAGCGTCGGAGTAAGGCTTATCGTCCGAGTCATCCGAATAAAAGCCGTATTCGGGTCTAGCGCCGTATTCTATCTCGTTGACTAAGTGGTAGCGAAGGAGCTTCGGCGTATTCGGGTTCTTGCAAGACGATCTAAAGGTTTTGATTGCTGACCTAAAAGCGTTTCCGAAAGAAGAGAATTTGTTAAATCGATTAAATCGATTTGCACTAGCGTTAAGGCTGTTAAAAGTTTAACGTTAAAAAGTAAAAAAAGAGACGAAGGTTGAGCTACTTTAGCGGTTCTCGTAATAAGTGATTTACTTAACCGCTGCTCTTTAAGCCGAGCGAGATTCGTTACGAGCTTTATTATAAGAGCTCTTCGCGAATTAAGTGTTATACTTAGCTTATAGAGCATCGTAAAGCTTTGCAAACGCGTATTAGCCAACAGCTAATTGTTAGACGGCGGTCTAAAAGTCTTTAAAAGTTATAGTCTTAGTAAATTCTAAATAGAACTGGTCGCGTAGCGTTTTAATGATCTTAAAACGTAAGGCCTTACGTAATCGGTCTTCGTCTTTAATCTCGGCGATAGCGGCAAGCTCCGAGAAAACAAAATAAAAGTCTTAAAAGTATTAGTTAAGCTTTATATAGAGTTTTTCGAACTTAATTGACGCTTTAGCCTTTTTAGCAAAGTCGTTTAAGAACTCGAAAGCGATCTAAACGAGTTCCGAAGCGGTTACGAGGTTGCTACGATTTATAACTAAAAAGGTTAAGAACAAGTAAGCTGTTTTTTCGGTTTGGTTAAAGACGTAGTTCTTACGCTAGCGTTTTATAAAAAAGTATTCTTCGAAAGCTTTTAAGTTGTCGAGGACGCGGGCTTGCTAATAGCGTGCTCGGTAGCTTACACCGTTTAAGAGCTTTTATTTAAGGTTAAAGATCCGCTCGATACGAGCGCGACCTTAAGAAGCTAAAGAAAAGGCTTTAAGAGTGTTGAACTTAGCTAGAATGCGAAGGTTGGTTAGTTTATAAAGAAAAAGTGGTTTATCGTCGTCGGCGAAAAAGCGGCGAGGGTTAGCGGTTTTATAAGTAGAAAGAGTGGCTTAGAAGACCGAGAGCTTGTATAGCTTTTTGCTTTTAGAATTATCTTCGAAAGAAACTTAAAGAGGCTTTGACGAGCGTTCCGTAGTTAGCAAGACCGCTTAAAGCTGGTTTAGTTCCTTTCGAGCTCGACGAGCTTTTTTTTCAGCCTTTTTAGCGAAGGTTTTTTGTTCGTTAGCGCTTTTATCGAGCTTTTCGTTGCGGGTTTTCATGTCTGCGAAGAGCTTCTTGAGCTTAGCGGCCTCTTATTAAGACTAAAAGAGAGCTTGATGTTAGGCCAAGGCTTCCTCGGGGTTAGTAAAGGCCGAAGGATCATTTTTATCGTTTTGCTTACTAATAGCTTCTTCTTGAGTAGAAAGAACTGCTGATTGGGCCGTAAAGGAGGAAGAAGCTGCTAGAGCAGCTTTAAGAGGTGTGCGGAAGATTTTGCCCGCGGGGCGAAAGTTGCTATGTTGTGTAAGTGCTATCCTTCAAGTTATACTTAAAATAGGCTTTCTCGTGACCGTTAGAGTCGTCTAAGTGTTTTAACGTCCAACTATTAAAGAATTTTAAAGAAAAGGAATATTATTAAAGCCGTTCCCGGCGGAGTGAGGTAGTTGTTGATAATATAACGACCTTAAGCGATTACTTAAAAGAACTTACAAGAGCGCGAAGTTCATATAAGAGCTTAAAAGAATCTTAAAGTAATGATTTAGAATCAATAACTACCGAGTGTAAAAGTCGAAAATAGCTAAGGTTTATATACACGAAAGTAGAAGCGCTAAGGACTCGTGAACCATAGTTCATAAGTCAAAAGCGGGGAATAAGAGAATACGAAGAATACGAAGGAAAAAAGGAGGGAAGTAGCTTGGCGCATATGAGGTGCGTCTAGGAGACCTGGCGTGTCGTCACACGTAAGGCTGCTACACTTAACGTACCTAAGGCTGCCACACGTAACCTACGTAAGGCTGCTATACGTAACTTACGTAAGGCTGCTACA